GAGGTAGAGGATTTCGATCATCCATACATTACTTTTGTCGCATATCGCATTGCCGCGTTAGTGAATCTCTATTGAGGTTACGGCAACTTTGTGCAGGCCATACTTGACGCTACCCTGCCCATCTTGCTTCTCGAATCTCTTAGAAAGTGCCATATTGCATCTTGGAAATTTGCCGCCCTCTTTGAGCTTGACCAATCTTTCACGCTTCTTTTTGACCACGTAAACGCCGCCATCACTCTCGTAGACCTTTACCCCCCATTGCAGAAATTGATCATATCTCTCGAAAACGCATATAGCAGCGGGTGTCCGCTGCAAATTCATGCAATTCGTTCCCATCGTTGAGCCATTCCTATTGCGATAGTATGGACAAGACCGCTTTACCAGCGCACATCCATCCTAAAGCGCAGTTGCCAACGCAATTTTTGGAGCTTATAACACTGTAAAATCATGGACGAGGGGCTACTGCGCAAACGCTCATCGGACGCGTTGATCGTGAGTACAGTTGTTAACGGATTTCAATCACTACCGGTTTTCAAGCTCATCAAGAGACTACTATTTCCCCAGAACAGCTTTTTGTTTTTCATTTTGATCTTGTAGGCGACAGGAAAGATAGAAAGTGAGCAAGAATCATGCGAACATTGTACAGTAGCAAGGAAAGACTGCAGATCAGGATGGTGGTAGGTAGCACATGTCAACTATCAATAGTAAAGATCTCTCTTCGAACGCACATCTATGTGGACCTTGCTAGGCTTCATAAGATTGTCCCAAACCCCACCGGGTCTCATTACTGGCTTGTCAAACCAAACGTGAGATTCTACATGCCTCTAGTCATACTGTGATAGATAATGAAGCGAATGTAAGCGTCTTGAACCTTCGCGAACCTCCCCTATACCCCTAGCGTAAATTGAAGATCCGGAGTCAGTATCAGCTGACCTTCACTTTCGACAGAACTATTGCAACATTCCTCCATAATCTATTGTCGTCAAGATGCTACCCGCTCACATATGTACACAGTTGATGTCATCGGAGAATTCGCGAGCTCACCTAGTATATCGTGATAGCTATCGTGATATATGATGCAGGATCAAATCCATCTCATACAGCGTATTTATTACAACATCCTCAACAGCGTATGATCTTTCATCCTCTATGTCGATACCTTCTGTATCCGATGCTGCTTTGAATCAGCATTTGGTAGAAAATGAACCGTCACACTATGCGAAATGCGTTAATGATCTTGTGTTTATGATAGAATGTCAACTACGAGCGTTTCACATTTGATCATAATGGTATGTATACATCTTTCGTGGCCTTCTTTCTCCGTCTAAGATTGATGTTCTTGTGAAGTGTCGATTTTTAGTCCCTCAAACGTACAATTTCCATAACACCCGCTTGACTTTTAACGACGAAAGCTCACTCTTCGATCGCAATGCATTCTGACTACCACTTTTGCGCAAAACTCATCCAAATGTTTTTACATATTTCACAGCTCTCGTTGGAACGCCTTGTTCCTCGTCAGCGATCCATTTATGCACCACCTCAATCCAACCATGTATCGCTTGCGACTCGAAGTTAACTCGAAGAAGCAAACTTACAAACGGGTAGAACGGCCGTCCCAGCTTCATTGCGCCACGACTGCGCTATGGCTTGTACTTCTCCGTAGCTAGATCACGCGAAGCGACGATATAGGTCGAGTATAGTACGGAATTTTTGATCCGTGTGTAATTTTTTTCACGTGATTGACGACTACATCCATTCAGGGATCAAAACGCACATTCTTTCTGATTTGCGTGACCTTTTTGCAAACTCCACACGCTTCAGAGGTGCAGTGCACATCAGCAGAGTCGATCCGTATGTATAGTGTACCCTTTATGTTTTTCGGACTGCAACAGGATTTCGTCTCAAGCACCGATACCATTTGCGTTCTATGTACAGTAGCATGAATAGTGACGTTGTAGCGGATCAGTAGGTTGCATCCGCGTCAGATGGTACATCGGTGTTCAACGCGTCTGTCGGGTCATCATACGAAAGGGTCGAATGGGCGCGCTTGAAGCGGCGCTTTATACGTGTGTTGCAATATGGGACTAAGCGTGCTCACTCTGTACCATGAACATCTTTCGCATGTGCACCACATCTTCGTCAAGAAAGTAGCTCCGCCGTGACTAATCGAATGCTTCATCTCGTTTCACCTATCCATAAATACATCCATTATAGTATTCGTCAGACTAGTCGTGGCGTAGGATTCACACATCGCTCAATCAGTGTAGGTAGTAGTCATGTAAGATCCCCCCATGAAGCAATGCGTGTTATCACGAAAAGATGCGACAAATCGATAGACACTGCGTCGACGGTTCCATTTTCACGCGCAGTGCGCATGGCGTAGGGCCCTTCTGACAGTTCCTTGACCTCCGCACATTATTCTTTAGGTCGTCAAATCATCATGTGGTCGCCGGGATGGTAAAAGTGCTCGAGCCGTTTTGTATTATCGCGTGTGTTGTCAGCGAGGATAGCTTTAAGACGCCGTTTTGACAAAAAACTCCAATTAGCGTCGTGCAGCTGGCGCGAAAACGTGTCGTGTTTTTATATCATAGCTGTCTTGGAGATACATTGGGTATGCTATAGTAGCTTGCTCGCACGCATGCGGCGTTATAAATAATCTTCTTCCGGTATGCGCCTGTGTGACAAAGTATGACGTTCAGACTTCCAAATGCACACTCTCACATTTCACGTTGGCTTGCGAGTGTTTGGTTGTAATCGGCTTCTATTTCAGGCCATAACTGCGTAGTAATTCCTGGAATTTCCCCCCATAAACTCATACCTTTGGTCGTGTACATCTTGTCGTGGGACGTGGAAATTGGCAAAGCCATTCGCGGCCAAAACTTGCAGCCGTCGTAAGTGATTGTTTGTTTGGCTGTACACCAGCTTCAAGCCACCGGGTTGCTCGATCAATCGTTTATATCCCGTAGTAGACTCCTTCGTATGGTACGATGAGGGTAACGTGGACAATATAAAACGGGTCAACCGTCTGGGTGGTACGTGGTGGTAGCATTCCGTACTCTTGTTTCCCTCCGTGCAACTTAGTTTGCTTGCATGTAATGCACTGGCGAACAAATTCGGCGATGACTGTTTCCATATGCGGCCAGTAGAAAACACCTCGCAATGTTTTGTGCTGACTTGCTGGGTGGCCAATATGCATGTGGTACCAGCCGATCAGGTCGTCACGAAGATTGTCAGCATAATAGTTACCCGGTGTTCGTTTCCAACTAAAGTATACCTCAAGAGATTCTGAACCTGTAGCTGATAGTCTGGGTTGTTGTTATCTGCAGGATATGACGCCTTGATAAATGCGATCATTTCATTGTTTTATTGGTGCTGGCGGAAAACCGCACCATGCATGACGCAATCTGGCGTCGTATTCAGAATATAGACTTCGTCGTTGAGTGATGGGCATTGACAATTCGCAAATCGCATGCGTGAATAGAATTTATGCTTTGTACATATAGCATGGTTTACAGAACTTTCACTGGTTTTTCTTCCGACAGCACAACCTTTTTGAGTGCTTGCTTTCGGATCCTACTTTTCAAGTTGCTATTTCTCCAATCTACTAGTCTGTGGCTATAATACCGGTGCGCAGCAATTCCGACAGTGTCGTGCTTTCGAGCGCGCGACTGCGAGTTTTCCATTCATTGGGGTTCTAATATACTAACAGAACGTACCGATAATAGTTTCTTGTACCTGTTGGCAGTCGTTTGACACTCTTGATAAAGTTGAGATATCTACGAAGGCTGAAAAAGGAATTTTCGGATAAAATGGAGATATCTTGTTGTTGTTGTTGAGTGAGGTACATTGAGGAACGTTGTCGAGCATCAGTATGTAGAAAATGGAAATATCTTGGGAAAGAATGTATATACTGCAATACGACGCCAAAATATACTCCACTGTTTCACTCTCAACCTGCGTTTGCAGATCCATTTTCCGGCACCACTTACTGCATCCTCTTCGACGTGAGTACAATGACCTGTCTGTCATTCGAAAAAGGTCGTGACAAAACGGGCACGAAACTAAATGCGCTCTCTCCAGCTACCCAACTACCTACTGCTGTGTCGTCGTCACGAGATGACTCGTGATATGACAAATTTCTCAAGCACATTCACAGCTGGCAGCATACGCCTTGTAATGCATGATCAGCCTGTGTAGTTTGTGGATGACTACCGCACATGCAAGACAACAATCTTGCTACAAAAAGCCGTCAGTGATCGTCTCGATTGACCAGGCTGTATATTCTCAGTGTGTGGCACCTCTTACTTAGCCAGCTCGCTCGGCGGGCACTGCAATTTAGCGGTCAAACCAAGCCGGATCGACAATCATATGATGATTGCGTCAAGCGTAGTAGATCAGACATTCAGCTGCTATGCTCTTGATCTTGCAATCTGGACACCACTTTCTCGCTACACTACGCTCTCATACGAGGGATCTTGCGTGTAACGATAAAGTTATCTCATTTCGTGCGTTTCGTTCGCGACGACTACCGACAGCTTGCAATAAAACTCGCTGCAAGCGATCGAATCTCCACGTGACTGTCTGATAGCAGACCGGCAAGCGATCAATCTCCACGTGACTGTCTGATAGCAGACCGGCAAGCCATCGTGCGATCGATGAGACAGACTCAGCTTACATCTTGTGGAACTGACGATACGAAACTTTCGATGCTGCATGTAAATTACCGCTGAAATCCGCCGCATTCGTCACTTTCCGTCGTTGCCACGGTTTATAAATTACCCGAAATAGTGGGCGAAATTGGAAACATTCGACTGAAAAATAGGGCGTTGCAAATCGTCCCAACAGCTCGTCGAGGGCGTTTTTTTCAGGTCAGTCGGGCACAAACTTCCACGACAGCGGGTTTCTCCCTCGCTATAGTGCCCGTGTGTGCAGCTGAAGTAACGCTAGCGCCTCGACTCTTCGGTCCAACACAAACCACCTCAGGGGGTCCTACTACGACAATGGCGGCGAACCGCACGGCCGACTTCGCGCACCTGTGCCAGCACTACTCGTCGTTACAAGGCCCTACTACTCTCCCAGTACGTCGTCTTGTTCCCTCTCTATCGAGCGGTACCATACACCGAACGTCCGTCTGTGGCTGTGGCTGTGTCTGTGTCTGTATGTAAAGAGCTGTGACGCGGTATGGTCTCTATAACTCACGCAGCGTCTGTGTGTTGTGTTCACTCTAGCGACCTGTACTGAAGACGGCACTGCACGAGACGCAGCAGTTTACTGCCGCGGCGTCGGACGTGTCGAAAGAAGTGTTCCAAGCGTCGAAGCGGCTACAGCAGCTCACACAACGTACGTGTTCCTGGGCAGCCGAGCGGTCTGTGGACGATGCCGGGAGTGCTAACGTTACTTTTCACGCGGCGCAGTCGTGCGGCAGACGAATATGTTTAACGACCCGACCGACGCGATCAACGAACTGGCGGCGCTCGTGAAGAACGACATTACGGCTATTAACACGCAGCTGGACAACCTGCAGGAGTACATCAACAGCCAGCGAGAGGCGGCGCCGTCGCGGCAAGCAGCGACGCACTCGGACGCTATTGTGTCGCTCATGAAGGCCGACCTCATGGCCACGACCAGAGGGTTCAAGGACATTTTGGAGGTGCGGCAGGAGAACATGAAGCTGCAGCAGAGCCGACGGGCGCGGTATGGCAAGACCGCGTCCAGTGCACTGGGCAAACCGCTGGCCTTTCAGGCGTCGCTGCCGGTGCGAAACAACCGGAGCCAACACAGTGGTCGACTGCAGGACGTTAACGTGTCGAGCGCGTTGCCACGTCCGGGCTTGCAGCGTGCTACCGAGGTCGGGTCGACCACGGACAGCGTGGAGATTCAGCCGCTGATTACCACCATGACACAGGAACAGCTCGTGGCCGAGCAGCAGAACTACACTGAGTCGCGAGCAGAAGCTGTGTCGCTGATTGAAAGTCACATTGTCGATATTGGCCAGCTCTTTGGACGCTTGTCGACATTGATTAATGAGCAGGGCGACCTCGTGCGAAGGTGCGTGATCTCGCAGCCACGACGTGACGTCTGTGTCTACGTGTGCGTGTGTTTGTGTGTATTCTAACATGCGTGTGTGTGTGTCTTTGTGTGTCTTTGTGTGTGTGTGTGTGTCTTTGTGTGTGTCTTTGTGTGTGCTCTTGTCTCGCCTGCAGGATCGATGACAACGTGGAAGAGTCGTTGCTGACCGTAAGCAGCGGCGAGCACGAGCTGCTCAAGTACTTTTCCAGCTTGTCGAACAACCGGCTGCTGGCGCTCAAGGTCTCGGCTATCTTATTAATCTTCCTCATCTTCTTCATGTTCTTCCTAGCGTAACACACATGCACCACCACCACCCCCCCCCCCATATACCATTACAACCACAAGAACCACAACACCACCGACAGCACCCCCCCCCCACCGACAACAATAACACCAAATCAGCCAAAGATGCAACAAAACGTTTCCCATCCACACCCACGTGGGCGATCCATTCAACTACCCCCAGCAACGCATTCCAGTGCCGCCATCCCCCCACTACCTCCTGCTCTCTCTCTCTCTCTCTTCTTGCACTGCACTGCACTGCCCATCCCCATCCTGTCCATGTTCGTGTCCACGTATGTACCCATCTCCTACTCCCCGTCGCCTCCAGCCTTTGGCTTGATCGCCAGAATCCCTCCAAGAGCCATTGCAACGACTGTCGCGCCCTGCGCGACGACCCGCAGCCGCATGAACTTTTGCTGCGTGGCCGCGTCCGCCGCGCGTCGGAACGAGGCCAATCCACCAATCAGCACACCGGCCGTGGCGAGACAGCCCAGCGGCACGAGCGGCTCTTCCTGGCAGCGGCGCTTCATCTTTTGCCAACCCGTCTCCATCGGGTACCCGTTCATCGTTGTCAGTGGCCACTCGTTGTTTCGTCAGTCGACCCGCGCGGCCGTGGCGCGTGGGTGTATACACAGGAGGTATACGCAAGTGTGCTCCTTGATGTTGCGCGTGTGTATGTATACACACGAGGTCTACGCAATTGTGCTCCTTACTGTTGCGCGTTTCTATCAGCAGGCAGACAGACGCTCGGTGGGTCGTGCGTTTCTACTCGCTGTTACCCCGCGAGACGGCGCGAGCGCGAGTCCGTGATTGGACACAACCCGTGGGTATAAGTTGTCCGAGTCACGCGCTCTCCGCCCCTGACTTCGAGTGTCGTGATAAGAAAAGAGAGGGCCCCACCCCCACCGCCTCATACCGACCTCGTGGACTCGACAACACCAGTCAGGAGCTCCTCCTCGCCCCAACGTGCCGCCCAAGATGCCCCTCCTCCCCCTGCGCGCGCCCCACGTCCTGCGCCGCGGCCTCCCGACCCGTGCGGCGATCGAGTGGTCGGCCATCGCGCAGAAGCTGTCGGACCCGCGGGCGCGCGCGGCGCTCGACAGCCTCCGCGACGTCCACGGACAGCTGGCGGCCGAGGCCCGAGCGTACGTGCGCGAGCCCGAGGCCATTGACTTTGCGTACTACCGCTCGGTGATCAAGAACAAGGCGCTCGTGGACGCGATGGAGAGCAACTACAAGACCATTGCGTTCCCCACGATCACGCCCGAGGAACTGGACGCGGCGGCCCAGTCGACGGAGCTGCCGGACGAGCTGCGGCTGAACGAGCAGGAGACGGTCGACGAGCTCGTACGTTGTTGAGACGCTGTAGGAGTTGTAGGAGATGTGGGGGGTGGGTGGGCGATGGAGACGACTTGTTGAGCTGTCGTTGTGACGTGTGGTCGGTTGTTGTTGTGGTCTGTTGTTGTGGTCTGTTGTTGTGGTTGTGTTTTGCGAGCAGTTTGGTCAGCTGAACGAGAAGGTGGCGGACTCGAAGGCGCGGATTGAAGAGCTGAAGGAGCTCATTGGGCTGATGGAAGAGACGCGCACGACGTTGACGACGTCGATGGACGAAGTGACGGCCATGTACCCGGAGGTCGAGGAGGAGATTGACACGGAGATTGCCAACCTCGAGTGGGAGAAGGACACGCAGTAGGGAGACAGATGGGAAGACAAGGAGGAAGGAGAACGACCAGACGAGGGGGTCGAAAACGAGACGACGAGTGGCATCGACTGGTTGCCATCGAGGGAGACAAGCGAACATATCCTGTAGCTGGCAAGACGGCGTACCGGCGCTGCCGTTTCTGCGTCTCCCGTGTGAAGACTACTAATGGAGCCCGTCATATCGTGAAGGCCGTTGGTCGTGTCGTCAGTGGCTTTGTCTCGTTTGTTGTATGCGTGCGTCAGACGGTCACTATGAGCAGCAGGGATTATATTCCAACTGAGAGGGACAACAGAGCGTCCTGTGAAAAATGTCTGATTCCAAGACGGATAAACTGCTGCTTGTGCCCTCGTGTTTTAAACGCCGAGCCGACTCTACTCGCGCATACGGTACGCTTCCGGTACACGGAAAAACTCTTTCGGGTCTTTGGCCACCTCAACGTCCACGCAGCGATTGTACGCCAGCAACGCGTCTCTGCATCGGTCCAGCGCGACGTTGCCCACCTCCGTGTCCGACACTCCGTCTGGCTGCTTGCCGTGCTCGTAGAAGCACGCGAAGAACTTGGTCGCCACGCTCTCGCAGGGCTTGGGGACACGCGGGAAGTTCTCGCTCACGCGCAACTCGGTCATGTCCACCATCACGACTTGTTGTTGTTGTTGCTTGACTTTGTTTCTTTGCTTGTTTTTGTTGCTGGTTTCTTCGGTCGCATGGAGCAAGTGGATGAATAAAACTGCGATTCTATCCTCGGTGTGAAAGCTTAGATAGAATCCACGAGCGACACGCGGATAACATCCAGGTTTATATCCTCGGAGTGCAACTTCTGACAAAAGCAAACGTCCAAAGGCGAAGAGGAAAACGCCCGACCGCAGTGTTTTCTCCCCTTTCGTGAACGAGCACCCGCTGAATGTGCACGGGCAACATAAGACTGCTCGTTACCACCACTTCACCACATTCCGAGTCAGTCGGACGAGTCATAACGCATCACCCGCATATCTCCACTTGCTACGAGATAACTCTGCTCTGCGGAACTGACCGCCTTCTGGACGTTGCACTATGCCCTTTTGGCCGCACGGAATGATCGACGACGGACAGCACAGAACGAAGCAGTGCATTGTCGTCGACCACGTGTTTTAAACACACTCAGGGCCACAGCGTCCTATTGCTCTCCAAAAAGTGCCGTAGCATGAACAAAAAAACACGTGCACGTTGACAGACACTACTCGCGTCTCTCTTCCTTTGACCTGTTGTGTGTATTACTATCCGCGTCGCTGTCTCTCGCTCGAGTGTGCACTGCTCCGCGTCTCAAACAAAAACGTCCGTGTGACTTCTTCGCGCTGCTCCCTTTTCGTTCCTGCGCGACCGCTTTGTCCCGACCGACTGCGTCTGATCCGCCGCTCGCGCGCTCGACCTGTTGTTATCTATTGGCAAAGCAGCACAGCGAATATTAACTGCTCAGTCGTCAGATCGGCGGAACTAACTCTCTTCAGCACATATGCAATGGTCGAGTCTCGACGCTTCGTGCAACTGCTCTCTCTCTCTCTCTCTCTCTCACTCAAATGGCCTTCTCACGACGTCTTGGCATTGGTAAAAAGTCAGCTTTCAAGCGCTGCACAAAGCGCCACACACGGCCTCTTCCTCCTCCTCTTTCGCTTCCGACACTGACACAATATCCACCAAAAGCCTTACGTTCCGTCATCGTCGTCGCCGTCAAAGTACAGGAACTCGGACGAGGGGCTGAACGCGCCCCCCGCGTCCATTACATATGTTGCAACGGCAGCCATCAGCGGTCGAGTGACCTGGAGAAAAACAGCACCAGTTGAATGAATAAAACAGCCGCACCCCCTGCGTGAATAAAACAGCTGCACTGCTCTGTATTAATCGCTTTCTCCGTCGATCGAAACGATTCCACCGATCAGCGACGACAGAGCAGCGCTCGAACGCAACGTACGGCTCTGCCAAAACGGCTTTTGCTCCTCTGGATCAGCTGTTCCATTGCTTGCGAATCGCGTGCGCCAGTAGACGATCGCGCCATTGCTCGCGCCACGGCGCGCGTCATTGCGAGTCGCTGGCCGAACCGGTAGTACGTCATATTGAGCGGTGGCTTTGAATGGTGCGCCGCAGTGGATGGAGGAGACCAGCGGATGGAGGTACCATGAAATCGGTACGATCGTGAGGCGACGCATCTGTCCGATATGTACATATCGTTGTACGTGTGTGGGTGTGTGGGTGTGGGTGTGGGTGCGTGTCTCACGTATGATTGTCGACGAGAGCAGAACAGCAGCAAGTGTGTTTTAAACACTTTTGCAATGGGGAATGTAGGACAGTATCGTCTCTATCATACAGGTCGACTTGGTCCATGCGTGAATAAAACACGCACGTGCACTCCTCGAGACGTTGACGAGACTTGGGGGCGTCTGAAGGAGTCGCGTCGGCACAGCATTTCAGTGTATCTTTGCCAATCTGTCGGCAGAGGAAGCGACGCGGACAAAGTCGCGGGATATCTGTGCAGCTCATCGGTCTGACGCGACTGAGCTCAACGTACCGTCGAAACAACTCGAGCGCAGAAGTGATCGAAACGCTTTCAATCGAAAGCGCACCACCATAACTTTACTTTGCATGTGCATAGAGTACGTACGCAACGACAGTCGACTCTGTCGCTTCTTCGGGACCAGCTCACTCGCACACGTTCCGTGGTCTTCCCATTACCTCTCGCAGGGCTTCGCATCGCCGCTCCTTGCTACGACACGCACTAGTGCTTTCATAAACATCGTCTCACAACACGTGGCAGAACAACTATCTGTTCCTTGCTTCACTATGCTGTCTTCTTCGTGCCAAAGCACAAACACATGTGCTCTCGTGCTTCTCCTTGCCTCAACCTCACTTGCTACTTGACGTTGTCCCGATCGCAGCAACATCTCGCAGTCTCGTGCGTGCACATATGTGCCAACGTTTAATTGACCGCCTCACGTCAGCGCACTTTGTGGAAATATCGAGGTCTAAACCACGACTTGCAGTTTAAACGACGTTCACACGCGGCCACTTTGTGCACGTGCATTATGGTCTCTCGCTTAAGGCTTTGCCTCAAACCCAAATGGTACTCATTGGCAGCTCTGCGGCTTTGCAGCAGTGAGAAGCAAAGCAATGAAGTTCAGCCCCAATGTTAAGTAACAGAAACTTCGTGCAGCAAACAGACAATAAATAGCAACAAACGGCTCGGCGTTTCCTCAGAACGCGGCCGCTCAGAAGCCTCGACCTGCAAGGGCCTGTTCCTATGTGGATGCTATGCGTTTCACCCGCAGCGGTCATAACGGCTCTTTCTGACTCCCGTGTCGTCGTCCCCTACTGTCCCCTCTTCCGGTTCACTGAACCGCGGACCGTCGAAGCCCAATTTGCTAACTGTGGGCCGTTTTTCCCTTTCGTGACTGGCCCATAGGTCAGCGGCTCGTTGACTGGACGTTTGTATGCCGTTCCGTGGGTGGTCAGAATCCTCTGCGTCGTCGTCGCCTGTCATTTCGCGAGAGGCAAAAGGTGCGGCCACATGACTCCCGTCGTGCTCTGATGTCGTCCCTCCGTCGTCTACAATGCATCGCCAAGCGCAGCAGTGGCCGCGTGCACGTCAATGCCACTGGGCCAATGGGCCAAGTGCCGTGTCGCGTGTCGCGTTGTAGTGCTTTTGTGTGGAAGTGTTGCGATACGACAGCGTTTTGGTCGAGTGCAGTATAACAAATGCTGCAAACGCTGTTTTTGTATACGATCAAAAGCAGCATAAGACGACGGACGGAGATGGGACAGTATGCATACGAGTCCAGCGGCTCGAGCACTAACTGACTTGACACGTGTTGTGGGGTTATAGTCGCTAGCATGCAGATTTTTGTCAAGACGTTGACGGGCAAGACCATTACGCTGGACGTGGAGCCGTCGGACAGCATTGACAATGTGAAGCAGAAGATCCAGGACAAGGAGGGCATTCCGCCTGACCAGCAGCGTCTCATCTTTGCTGGCAAGCAACTCGAAGACGGCCGCACGCTCTCGGACTACAACATCCAGAAGGGTGCGTAGGCTGCCTTTGTCCCGTATTGTGTCCCTTATGTGTTGGGGACAGAAGTTGCGTCGGTTACTGACTGGTGTGTCGTATGCTGTGTCGTATGCTGTGTCGTATGCTGTGTGGTATGCTGTTTTTTGGCTACACGGTAGAGTCGACGCTCCACTTGGTGCTGCGTCTGCGCGGTGGTGCGATTGAGCCGACGCTCGCGGCGCTGGCCAAGAAGACGAACTGCGAGAAGCAGATTTGTCGCATTTGCTACGCGCGTCTGCCGCCCCGTGCGTCGAACTGCCGCAAGAAGAAATGCGGCCACAGCAACCAGCTGCGCATCAAGAAGAAGCTCAAGTAATTGCTGCAGGTAGCCGGCGTCTGCGTGCAAAGACGGCGGGTGGAGCGCACAGTGATGGAGCGCGTGAGCGGTAGTACTGTCGTCGTCACAATGAGGCTGCGAGTAGTGGCCGGTTGGGATGACGAGTGTGCTCGGACTCGGACTGTCTGGAAACGGGGCAGACGAAGGCAGTGCAGCGCTTGCCGGCAGTAAGGATACAATCCACACCAGCGTCGACGCCTCGACTTTCTCTCTATCGTGTGTGTGTGCTGCCCGTGTTGAATGGTTTCGTGCGTCGCATGTTGGGTGGTGTGTTCCGTCATGTAGGGCTCAGTTGATCGATCTACTTCGTCCATACGATCGAGCAGCTACGGTCGTGACAAGTCGTCCATTGCAAATGGAGTCTTCCTGCACAACAACTTGACTTGCGCACGAGTGGACCTGATGAGAGAGTATTGTCACAATCGCTGCACGAACGGTCATGTGAGGTGTCTTTACGAAGTGTCATGTTGGAATTACACACTCTACATGCCACACTTCTCCTTTACGATCTCTCTCTCTCTCTCGGCACTACCCAACGACGTTCGGAATCGACCGACAGTATCCGACTGGGACACTTAGTTGCCCACAGCCCACACACGGACAATGCCGTCCGTGTAGCCCGAGAACAGCACCGAGCCGTCGGCCGACCAGGCCAGCGAAATGCAGTGCGGCGGCTGCGCGTACTTGCCCTTGGGCTCCTCGATATCGGGCTGCAAGTCGTGCACCACGTTCTTCGTCTCGAGGTCCCAGATCTTAATGCCCGACGTCGTCGCGGCACACAGCCAGTAGCGGTTCGGCGAGAACACGAGCGCGTGGATCACGTCGCCCGCCACGAGCGAGTACAGCCGCTTGCCTTCGTTCAGGTCCCAGAGGTTGGCCGTGCCGTCTTTGCCTCCCGACGCACAAATCGATCCGTCCGGAGACACTGTGACCGTGTTCAAGTAGCCGCTGTGGCCAAACAAGTTGGTCCGGAGCTTGCAGTTCGACAAGTTCCAGATCTTCACCACCTTATCCCACCCGCACGAGACGATCAACGGGTTGGCCGTCGACGGACTAAAGCGGACACAAGAGACCCACTCCGTGTGCCCGTCCTCCGTGATCGTGTACTTGCACTCGCCCAGCGTGTTCCAGAGCTTGACCGTCTTGTCGCGCGAGCCCGAGACGATCTGGCGGTTGTCTGCGCTGAACGCGACCGACAGCACGTCCTTCGTGTGCCCCACGAACCGACGCGTCGTGATGCCCGTGTTCAGGTCCCATAGACGCAGCGTGCCGTCCCACGAGCCCGAGAGCGCAAACTGCCCGTCCGACGAGATCACCACGTCTTCCACGTAGTGCGAGTGGCCCTGCAAGCGACGACGGGCAAAGCCGTACTCCTCGCCGTCGTTCGACAGCTGCCACACGAGCAGCGACTTGTCGCGCGACGCCGTCAGGAGCAAGTTCGGGTTCTCCCGCGTCGTGGCAATGGCCGTCACGGCTTTGCCATTGTGGCCGTCCAGCTCCGCGCGCATGTAGATGTTCGTGTCGGCCATGGTCGAGGATGTAAAGTGGACAGCTACAGCGAGCGAGCGACGGCGAAGCGAGGGAGGGGACAAGATCTGTCTGCCACGCAGGCCACGAGGAGCTCTTTGCGCTCTCGGCGCACGTGGGCCAGTCGTTATTGAATGCATTTCATTGGCTGAAAAGGGAACCGCTCGGACGGATGATTACGAAGCAGTTCGACCGTACGAAATGCGGGACACCGACGTGCAGAAGTCGATGGATTCCGCAGACGGACTTTGTAGACGCAACAGTGCGACTGGCAGCTGATGAATGTTGGGAGAAGAACGCGCCCAGCAGAATGAATGCCATCAGCGCTGGAGCACGTAAAGGGAACGTGTGGGCGGGGCGTGGGAAAAGACCGTCCGTTTCTAGCGTCGCCGTCCTCAGGTCCGTTGCTACAGACGTAGCATTTCAGCGGGAGCCACGCACAGAGGATGAAGGCAGTAGTCGTAGTAGTCGTAGTACACGCAGCGACCTGATCAGTGGACGACAAGTGCTAATGTGAACCTGAGCCAGTCACGTAGAGGCTCTGCAGTATGGACGACGGCTTCGCACACAAATGGACTCACAGTCGCCGAATACACTGAGAAACACCGACTGGTGTTTGATCGATTGATCGCATTAGCTCAAATGTCCGCTGCAGTCGGTCGACCTTTTCTCCTTCCGTCCCTATCGTTCCTACACACAGCGTCTCGTTACGGACCGAGTCGCAGCGACCGGTCGGCCTTTGCCTCAGCCTGTTGAGGTTGAAGCGTCTCAAGATAGCGCTCCCACTCGTGTTGCAAGTGCCGGAGAAGTCGGCAGTTGTGCGCCGCTTTGAACGTGAGGGTCCCACCGCCCTCGTTGTTGTCCGAGATGGACAACGAAGTGCCAGTGGAGCCCCTGCGACTTTCCCTGTGGCGGCTGCCGTCCGTCGGAAAAGAGTCCTCGCGCTGGACCGCCTGTTTCCACCATCGCTTGATGCGCTGCCACAGGCCGTTGTTGTGGTACGTGGTGACTGTGATCTTGTCGTCGCCGTCTCTGTGGCCACACACGACGTTGGACGACACGGCGGCACTGGCTGGAACCCGTCCGACGACGCTACCGCCGCTCAATATCGCAGCATTGACGTCAATGGGCATCAACCTGCGGCCTTCGTTGGCGAACGTGTGGCTGGTGGCACAGAGACCACCAACAAGTGCGATTGCGACTTGACGTACGAGACGCATCTTGGGCCAAAGTCTCTGTGGTCGTTCGTAGGGGAGGAAGAGTCGACGACGATCAATGGATCGATCGATCGATCAGATTGAGTAGTGGCTGCCATTGGGACAAGAAGAGCATTGGCCGATACGGTCGCTATCTGCTCGTCAACTACAGAGCCAGAGGAGATACAGGATCAGATCCCTCTACCTCTTGCGTCCGAGACGAGCAGTGTCCTCGTGCTCTGATCTTTTACGCCATTAGCTGCGTCCGATCGGACTCATCTGTGTGCGCCATCTGCTCGTCCTTTGAAGAGAGAGACACGAGCCCGTGAATGGCAGTCGACAAGTCGGCAAATCTCACGTGACGAGCACCTGACGCGGTCAAGGGACTGACTGACACTGCCCACGGGTGTGTCAGCTATTTGGTCAGTGAGAGAGCGGCGACTGGTAGCCCTACTTGCTGCTGCCATACAGCATTGCAAGTCCTCGTCAAGGCGCACTCTTTCGTTCCTCTATCCGAGAAATGACGGGCAACTCACACGACGTCGAGCTTTGCTCTGGTACCACGTGACACCTTTGGCTGGTAGCGCTGCATCTTTCTACTGCAGTATCCGAGCAGATCGATCGAGTAGCGATGGACGAGTCCGACTACGTGACTATGAGATGTGGTGCTGTGACTATGAGATGTGGTGCTGTGACTATGAGATGTGGTGCTGTGACTCACTAGTCGGCACACGACCGCATCTCTTCATGCCATATCACTTGCAATCGAAAGCAAACACTATGCCGACCAAACGTCTGTGGCGGTCTCACAGGAACGCACAACTGACGGAAACAATCGAAACGCCGGCGATCGATCCTCATGTGTGGGCGACAGGCACTTGACAAGTACCTCGCGCGACAACTGGTGCTGGTCACAGGCCGAACGCAACAAGCGCTGGCACACACTCGACGCTCCACGTTTGCTCTGCAGTAACCACTTTACAGGCGGCACTTACATGCAGAGCCTTACAGCTCTGTTCGTCTACTCGAACACGAGAGTGGGAACTGCATACCCCCAAGAGAGCTCTGCGTACAAAAGTCAACGGCGCGCACTGCTGTTTTCATTCTGTGGCTGCGCGCTCATGCGATGCAACGCAGCAGCTGAGGGACACGTCCTCGTTGCACGCACGACAAGCAGCAACGCTTTGAGCACGGGCCATCTGTCGGCAGGTTCCCTTGTTCTGCAAGCCACAGTGCTCCTTAGTCCCATGACGACAGCAGACCTTCTGGTGCTCCAGTGTTGTCTCACTCTAAACGGCAACACTGCGACTCTTCCGACCCCCGACAATGGCACAGACGCAGAAGTAATGGTCTCTTCCAGGGCTGTCACAGCCTCAACGCACTTGTCTACTTGCACTTGACCAGCGTGTGGGTAGCCCCAAAGCCTTTCGCGAACATCGACGTGTCTCGCACTGCTGGCCGCCGTCTGGTTTCGCCCTGAGCCACTGACTGGCAGCGCGCGCCGCACTCTGCCGCAGGGCTTCGATCGTCGCTTGTCGACACACCAAAACGCTGACGGGTATCCCTCGCCGTCCGTTCGGCGTCGTTAAGCCACGACTCCATGTGTTCGTTCAGTCGTTCTTATGATGGACAGCAACTGCCTTTGAGCCCAATCCACTGATCAACCGGATCCTCTTCACTGGACCAACACGTGCTGGAGATGGTCGACGTGTCCGGATCTAGCTTCGGTGCGGTTTACCAGTCGCGCTGCCCTTGCGACGGTCTCGCGTGGTGCGAGACGCTCGCTGCCGTTCGTGTGTTGCCCAGAGGGGCGTTGTACGTCATTCACGTATCCCCACTATTGGCAATAGCGAGATGAAGCGTCTTCTTCCGTACACTAGTAGCTCGCAGGCTGATGTGCTCGTAGGTGTCGATTCTCCACGCAAAGTGTGCCGAGCAGATACACCAGCACACTCCTCCTTCTGTTTACAAAGAAGGAGGAGTGTGCTGGTAAAGCTACAGCATGATGAACGACGTGTAAAGTGACCGACGGCTTAGCTTCCCGATAAATACCACCGCACAGATGATACGTGGAGATAGCTCAACGTCGCAGCACATCAGTGCACGTGACCTCTACGCCTACACGCTTTTACGAGCAGGTGAGTGGAGTCTCGAGTAGTAAGTGCTGAAGACATGCCGAAACGTCACTCGACCATCATCATCATCATCATCGGCATCGGCATTGGCATCATCCTTCAAGTAAGGCGCCCGTAGACACAAGACCGCAACGAATGAACCGCCGACGCAACAAACTCCCTCTCTCTCTCTCTCTCTCTGTCTTCGCGACTGCCAGTGGCGATCCCAGCGTTCCTACGCCCACGTCAGTCGGCAGTCTCAAACGAGCTGTGTAACGAGAACATCTCACCAAGTTACGTGTGCACGAACGATTAGTTTGGGTTGTTTGGATCAGGTATTACTCGTACGCGGCTGTTCAACGATGGCATGATCGCTCGAACGCTCTGCTCCAAGTGGCCGTCATCCACTACCGCGTAGCTTCCATGGGGTACATACACAGCACGATCGAAGCTGTCACGTGGCCGCCACATGACGGACGTGCACGGACATTCACTGCACGCGTCTGTCTACCAGTGCTGTGCACGTAACGGAATGGCAAGTAGCCGCGACGGACACAGGTGCTTGACCGTGCGCCCGCCACCGTCGATACAGACGATGATCGAAGAAGACGGTCAATGCCGAGCGACGAAGAAGCCACACGAAAGAAGCTTGCTCGCTTCAACGAGTGTGGCCCCGTAAGGACAAGCCCGTCTTACCATTGCAACAGACGACACCTCCTCGCTGGCTTCATTACAACGTCACGTTCGCTCATCGGGTCATGATTGGCATCGCTCCTCCTGTTCCTTGAACTGCACAGCCCGTGACATCATCTACCCCCCCTCTCTCTCTCTCTCTCTCTCTCTCTCTCTCTCTAGCAGAAGCCATTGTCCAGTAGCCATCCTCGAGCCTTGGCGTCCGTCATCCTCCTTCTGTTTTCGCCAGGCCTTTCGTCGTCGATAATGAGGTCGAAAGCCCTTCGCTCGATGGCCTCGTAGGCATTTCTTGAAGCCGAGTGACACTGTCGTGCACAGCTCACTCGGTCGAGTCTCCACGCCACGAGGGAGTGCGATGGCGTAAACGTTGACGTTCTAGTAGACGGTCCGTCGTAAGCACAGGCAGCTCTCCATCGTTTCGAAAGCGGGTTCTTCCCCCGTCCACGGCCGTCTCTCGTCTGCAACCCATACTGACGCACGCCAAGCCACACCCACAAGCCACGGAATATGGGACGACAGTCGATGCGCACACAGGCTGTGCACAAAGCCCATCGGCGTCTCTTCTTGCATCCATGCCGAGCACACCTTACCCTGCACGGAGCTGACCACGCAGTATGATTTGCATCCTGGCGACTCGTCCGTTCAGCTCTTGACGGTGGCTCGCCACGCCAAATGAGCCTCGACCTGACACGTTGGTCCCCTACTACGCTCTCTACACACACGACCGGTCAGGCCGATTGACAAGAAGGCAGCGAGAAGAAGAAGAAGAAGAAGAAGCGCCAGATCATTGTGGAAGCACAGAAGTATCCGCTGCGACGACGATGACCTGAATCCATCTACAGGTCGATCGGTATCCCAGATACAAAGTAACTAACGGCTGAGGTCTTCTGGTACGAAGAAGTGTCTGAGATAACTGCTTTGTCGAGAACGTTACCGCCCAATGTGTCTGCAGACCCAAAGCGTCCGTCAACAGCCGAAGTGCCTCTCGGTTGGTAAACTGAACCACGTGGCCTCAAAGCAGTCAGTGACCGACGTGTTTACAAGCACACAACAGACTCGAGACGCACTTGCAGGACAAGTGACAGACGAATGACAGAGCTCAACCCAATGCCTCTCTCTCTCTCTCTCTCTCTCTCTCTCTCTCTCTCTCTCTCTCTCTCTCTCTCTCTCTCCTGCCCAGTCCCCGACGACGGGATCGAAGCGGCATAGACGAAGACGAAGAACGGGGCAGAAAGCTCAAGCCGTCCGTACCACCACATGAGTCCTCGAGCCATAGCGTCCACTCGCTCTTTGACTCTGTTTACGCCAAATACGTCCAGCGCAGGTAACTGTGGCCTTTACCGTTCGTCCGGCTCTCGACGAGCGATTTGGGTGCGAGACCCTTTTTCGGCCGCCTTCGACTGGGCCTTTCGAAGCCCATTCGCACGATAGCGTGCTCCATGCAGTGGCAATGGGCCCAAAACCGACCCGCTTGCTGCCCAGTTTTCGATCGTGTCGCATCGATTTGCCCAGTTTCGTGCCTCGCGCACCCTTTACGGCGAAAGATTGCAGCGAATCCCGTTCCTTCACGGCGGGAAGCGCGAGCCTCTCTCCCGTTGCGATGGCATGGGAAAGCTCGTTGATGACGACGGCCCACCAAGTGGTTCGACTGCTACCAGCACGAGCAACAGCACCCGAGTTGCTAAGCAGGAAAACCATAACATATCCCCATGTGAGTGCTCGGTGCTTACCATGGACCCGCTCGATCAAGCCACTTTGTTCGCACGCTGTTTCTTGGAACCTGCTGACTACTGATGGCATACATGGAGATCGCAGCGCTTCAGCCCTTTGACTGACGGACTGACTGACTCACTACAGGGACGCGCACGGATTCTCTGTTGGCGCTCGTGACCGCATCGCAATGTGTGAAACAACGGCAGGCGAGCAGCAATGCGTACGAGCAATCCACTTGTTGGCCTTTTTGAACCGCAATCCGTCGGTCCTGTCTTTCGTGTGGACCGTGCAGGTCGTCGTCGTCGCTGTCGTCGCTGTCGTCGCTGTCGTCGTCGTTGGTCGTGACGCCTCGACAGCTTTTACATGTGCGAGAGCAAAGACACTCGGGATCGATCGTAACGCGCGCGAGCCGCAACGTTAGGTCGCGTTTTTTTCTCGTAGACACTTTTGCCAGGCGGCTGCATGTCGACAGCAGCTGCTGGTCGCGCGCGACGCGTTGGAAACACACCTCCTCGCGCCAACTGTGGTCCCACCGGTCGGTCGCCCTCTCTTTTTTTTCCCACGCCATCCGATGAACTTCAGCAGCAGCAGCAGTAGCATCGATTGCCTGTCGTAGTGTGTCGTCGGTCGGTCCAAACGCCCTCGAAAAACAGTCGCCGAAGTGTGTCGGTGGCTTCTGTCTCTGTGTGTGTGCGCAGCTTTAACCGCTTGCCCCAATTCGCGTCGCAAGTAGCGCTTCCAGCTGTTGGCAGTGTCGTTGTCGTTGTCGCGCGTGGTGGACAGACAGGCCACTGCTCCTGTCCTCGCTGCTGCTCGTCGTTTCGCGCTCGCCGACATGTACACAGCTCTTCCCGAGGGGCAGCTGGGGCGGCGCGGGCCGTGTCACAAGGCCCCACAGAGCCTCAACGCTTCGAGGAGACGTTGAAGGCCGAAAGTCGGAAGCCGACAGTCTTTTTTCGCTCTCTCTCTCTCGAGCAAAGCCGCGAGGGACTAATCGACCCCAACAACCCCAACAACCCCAACAACCCCAACAACAACAACCACAACAACAACAACCACAATAACAACCACAAAGCGCCTCAAGTAGACTGTAAAAGAGCGTCTCGGCCTCGAGGGTCCGTCCGTCCGTCCGTTCACACTGTCATTCCTCTTTTTACCCGACACGAGCGACCGGTCCGTCCGATTCCATCACTCGATTGCTCTCGAGTCCCCAACGTCTCTTTCCAATGCCATCTCCTGCTCCGTCACGTCCGACCCCGTCGTCCTCTCTCCTCCTCTGCTCTCGTCACAGCGGCGCACGGAAACACTCTGTCGAGTGTCCGTCCGTCAAAGGGCCTCCCGACGGCCTCCACGCACTGCACATGCAGCAGCAGCTCCAGCTCCAGTGGCAAGCGGCGGCCCACCTCCCCGAGCGCCGCATGATGGTCCGCCGCATCCTGCAGCTCTCCCAGAGCCGCTGCAAAGCCACCGACGACGGCCGCGCCGTACTGCTCGCCAAGCGCATTGAGCTCGCGCTCTACTCGCGCGCGGGGTCCCTCACCGAGTACAGCAACTTGGCGACGCTGCGCAGACGACTGCAGTCCCTCGTGGCTTCGAGTGTCCACGAAGGCGCAGCGGTCAGTCCTAGCGCTTTGAAATGGCACTCCCGCAAACGTCCGAGTCCGAAGAGCAGCAGCAATAGCCCTTGCAGCCACAGCAGTTGCCACGCGATCAAACGTCAACGGGTTAGCCCCTCGACGTCCGCCAGTAGCTCCCCGAACAGCAGTAGACCCTCATCACTGTTTGCGGCCGTGGGCGAAGACTGCACCCGATTGGTCTTTGCCTTCTTAGAGGGCCAAGAGGTCATGCGGCATCGCGAGCTCAACCGCTTTGCGGCCGCGTTCCTTCCCACCTGCGTCCAAACCGTTTCGGTTGAAGTCGCGCAGTTGACGCACGGGGTGTCCGCGCGTTCGTCCATGCACCGCATGCGCAACCTGCAGCACCTCCTGGTGCACAAGAAGGGGACGTTCGCTATGGGGTCGTCGACGTCGTTGTTGTTGCCGGCACCAGTTGACTCGTCGACTGCGCCGCTCTACGCCTGGGGCTGTGCTGAGCTCCCCACGACGCAGTCGAACGACGGCGAATGGGCCGTCGGGGCCCTGGCAGCCGTCTTGCGCGCCGGCACGTTCCCCGCGCTGCAGACACTGCACCTCGTGTCGGTCTTTATCAACACAATGAGTGGCAACGGACTCGGCGCGCTCTGCGAAGCGCTGGCCACCGGCTGCTGTCCACTGCTGGCCGACGTGCTCTTGGCGGGCAACAGCCTCGCGGACGTCGGCGCCTTCGCCGTCGCACGGCTGTTGCAGTCGCCACGCGCACCACAGCTCACGCGCGTGGACGTGCGGCGCAACTTTATTGGCGAGACGGGTTTGCGGGCGCTCTTGTCGGCTCTGGCGCAGACGCAGCCGCAGGTGCAGGTGCTGTGTCTCGGGGGGAACCTCGTGACGGACAATTGCGTGCCAGAGCTGCAGCAGTGGCTCGCGGGCCCCGCGTGCCCCAATCTGCGGTTCCTCGGGCTCGAAGACAACTTTCTGAGCGCCGAAGGGGCGCAGGTGGTGCTCGAGACGGCGGCCGCGAACGCGACGGCGCTGACACGACCGCGTCGCGTCTCGTGCGACCGCAAGGCCACTATGGCATGAGCAGAAGGGATAGACGCGCTAGCACTAGGACACGCAATAGACTGCATATGGAAATACACACTCACTCACCCTCACTCTCTCACTCTCTCACTCACGTTCGACAATGATGCAACGACTGCAGCTGCAGCACTCGTTTGGGTCATTGCGTGACGTTTACAGTGTCTTTGTCGATGCAGCTACGTGGCTTTGGATAGTAAGTGGACGAACGCTGCAGAGCTTTCGAGACGGCGATAAGCTGTCGCGGAGGAGTGTATGAGCAGAGGTGGCGGTGACTTGTTGGTAGATTGGTATGGACGCCAAGTGCGATTGGCCCTGCGACGTGTAGAGAGAGCAGCTGTCGTAGTGGTTGACGAGTACGTACAGACAGAGACGCAGATACAGAAAGACAAAGTGGTAATAGGTTACGGGTCTCGATCGATTATGGTACCGGATGCAGGAGAACTATACACGTGCACTACTGCACTCCGACTGAAAAGAGGGCCACGGAGCAGTCGCACAACACGGCATCGCTTCTCTCTCTTCGCTCCTTCGCTTTTCTTGCTCTGGTAAATAAGTGCTGTCCGAGGGAGTTGTACGCAGCAGCGCTTGAGGTCGCTGCATCCTGAACAAGAACGAGGAACGCGTCCGTTTGTCACTGTCGGCTCAACCCCCCCCCAACAGGAGTTGAAGAGGAGGAATAAGGAGGGGGAGAAGGAGGCCAAGAAGCCGAAGAAGAAGAAGAAAAATCCGAGCTGAGCTTCGCACGGCCCTAGTAATGGTCTTCGGGTGGCGTCGTGGAAACGTACCACCCCCACTGGGGCGACGCGATCCCTCCCCCGTCTCTCGTCGCGTGCAACGCGTGCTCCTGGTCACTGTACTCGACACCTGCTCCAGTCTCGTCGACAGTCCCTAACTGGCCAAACTGTGCACACAAAAAACAACAAACACTGTCAACACACTCGCAAGCCCAACACCCAACACCCTCCTCCTCGTTCTTCCTCCTCGTTCTTCCTCCTCGTGATCGTAACAACGATCGAGAGAGGAGACAGCGAGCACAACGCCACGAGCACGTACACTGAGGGAACACGGGCTCAGGCTGCGATCTCGTGACGGCGTCGACGTGTCGCTCTCGGTGCTACTGCAGACCTCCTCGCCTTTGTCCAATCTGTTGCTGCTGTTCATATGGCGATTGCACGGGCTCAGGTCAGCGCGTGTCCGATCGACGACGTCGTCGTCGTCGTCGCTCGTCGCTGCTTTCAAGTAGCTCAGCACACTCACTGCAGTGGCCGCTGCTGCTGCTGCTGCTGTCGCAACGACGGGATGTTGTTGGACCCATCGCAGACCGCCTGCAAGTTCACTGGGCGTGGGGAAGAAGGACGGAACGACAACGTCCGACATGACGGACTGATCGACGCGGCGAGAAGACGGTCGGCACAAGTTGGTGCCGTTGGATTGCTCAATGGCGTTGTAACAAGAGCTGCGAGCGCTCGAAACGTTTGTTGGGTATGTGTGTGTGTTTGTGTGTGTGTGGGTGCGGGTAGACACAGGATGTATGATGAGTATGTGTGTGTGGGAGGTGCCTCTTGTGGGGTTGTTGACGTTGAAAAGCCTCACGGACGCGCCGCTAGCAGATGGGCCGAGTCGGGCGTAGCAGAGACTTTACCGAACGCGGTTGGGGTGGAGCGCGCGTCGCCACTTCTGCGAAAGGGGGAGAATAAAAAAAGGCGCGCGTCGACGACACACACCGACGGACGTCGGGGACCTGCGAGATCGAATGTCGGGAGGGAGGGGCGGCCGTCGTGGCGGGATACGTGGAGTGTAGCGCACTGTGGAACTGGATACCCTGCTCGAGTCGTTTTTTTGCGAGAAGATGGTCGGACGTGGCGCCAAGCGGGACCGAGACTGAGGACATACGCGGCATTCAGTCCAGCGCAACAGACTGTGCACTTTGACAAAGGCGAACGAGGCGGCCAGAGAAGAGCAAACGCGCCGTCTAAGTGATGCGGTGGTAGGCCATAGCTGTGAGCTGTGAGCTGATCGCGTGTGGAAGGCATCGGTTCGTGCGCATAGCCAGTTGTGGCTGTGGCTGGGCCAGTGCTGACTGCTTTTTTCCTTCTCCCTCCCCCGCATACACATCTTTCACTCCCATCTTTTCACACATTTCGCAGATGATGTCAGTTGTGTAAAGCCAAACGACACGAAACGGATCTTCAACCGGCATGACTCGTTCTCTTCCTCCTCCTTCTCCTCCTTCTTCTCTTCCTCCTCCTTCTCCTCGTCAAATGAAACGGCGGTCGGAGCAGGAGCTGCTGTTGTAGGGCAGTGTCGGAGCAGTGCCAGTCGGTGTCTGCAACACATGGGACTCCCGACCTCCAGCAGGTCGTGCACCGAGTGGCCGTCTGGCTACTTTCTCCTCTTCTCTTAACGAAAAGACGGCTCGAGCGAGACGCAGCCGTTCGGCCACCGCGGCAGGAACGGCAGCAGCTGATCCGTCTGTCCCCAGACGCGAGCGTACGATGTCGTCGATCTGTGAGCAGCATGCGGTTGCAGACTCGCAAGACACGATGGCAATGGGTATCTCTGTGGTCTCTCTGTCTCTGTCCTCTCGCTCGCTCTTTGCAGCACGAGCTGCTCAACCCACGACACTTCTTTGGAACAGAAGTGGGGAACCTCAAGCTGATCGAGTGAGACAATTTGCTGTTTGGCCTTTTCGGTAGTTGTCTCGGACTCTCCTCCTCATCTCCCGACGATGTGGTGGTACTGCTCAGTATCGAACTATTCAGCGCACCTTCAACTGCATCCACACAGCTGCTCTGCGGTGCGAACCGTTCGCTCCTTAGTCTAAATTGTGTGCGTGCAGTTCAGTCAGCGCGGAAAACGAGAACCACCTGGTCACAAATACCATATTGCCGATGACTTGTGCAGCCCATTGAAAACAGAGCACTCGCGACCAAACGCCGGTCCGTCAGTATACATACACTATACGCTATACACTATCGTTAATTCGTTGTCGACATAACGCGACGACCCTCTTGCGTTTCATTTTGACCTGTATCGTATGCTGTATTCACACACTGAGTCCATGCGTTTCGAGAGGTCGCAACTATCCATGCAGCTTTATACGGACAATGGATGCCGCGTATCCGGATAAAAAGTCGACGACTCCGACTTCGACCGACGCGCCAGAGTTACAGAATGAACGACCAGCGCGAACAGCGTCGACGCTTTGGCGCACGATACCATTCATCCACCGCGTCTGAACAGCGCAACAGCGGCTGTTTCAACCTCCGGTACCCAAACACACTCGAGCTCTCGACCGTCGCGTCCGAGCACCACCGACGGGGCCGGCGATCCGCGTGCGTCCATTTTTATTAAGGCCATTTTTGCTTTTTGGTTGGGTGTCATTTGTACGCACGCGAATTGTGGTCGATTGGGAATATCTCGGTCGTACAAAAACAAGCTAACCTTGTCCGCATGATGCTGCATGTAGCTCCACTAGTGGGTACACTCGTTGTTGGGACGACCCGTACGGACAGCAGTTTGACTTCAGCCGCGATGGACAGCACGAGGACACGACGCCGTACGCACCCAAGTACACGTCCAGTCGTCCAAAAGCCAGTGGACAGACCATTCGGGCCCCGGGGTCTTCGATCGTCACGACACCGTCGACTCCTTCGGATCTGGTGGACCACGTACTTGTCAAAGTAAAGACTGTGGCTCTATGTGCAGCTCTGTTTCGACTACGAAACAGACGCTGACTTTTTTTGTATCATTGACCTCAGCTCTGTTGCTACTGCGGTTGTGAGTCACATGTGACTGACGTGCTGTTGTGCTTGTTATGGTGTTGTTCGTGTCCTTGTTGTTGTGTTTTTGCTCAATATTGATCAGAACTTCTTGCCACCTAAGACCCACAGCGAGTTCCTGACCAAGTTGACCAAGCAGAACACCATATCGAACCGAGGCCCTGGGTTACAGTCCAAGGCTTTCGCGTACTCGTCGCTAGAAGCTGCGAGTGCACCGATTTTGATGAGCAAGGCCGGTTCTAGGGTAGCTGCAGGCTCGAGTCAGGGGGTGCCTGCGCGGGCAAAAGAGAGTGTGATGAAGGGGCCACGAGTGGCAATGGGTTCGGCGGAAAAGAAGGCGAAAAGTGGGCGAGATGCATGCAACAGCTCGTCGCCGGTGATTAGTCCTTACGCTTTGCGAGATAGGTCAAAGCTGAATCCGTTCCATTGCTCGCCCACGTCGTTGCTGTCAGCGTCGCTGTCGAGTCAGGGCTTGGCGACGATGAAGAAACGCAAGTTGAACAGCGAAGGATCAGCATCGAAGCCGATTGCGTTGGACTCGGACTCGGAGTCGGAAGCGGTGCTGCACTTTGAGTGCGCCAGTAACAGCGTAGAAACGGCTGGGGACGTGGTGAAAAACGACGATGCGAGGACTGATGTGGCGGACAACTCAGCAGAGGCTGTTGCTGACCCGGAGGATATCGCGTCACAGGCTGTGGCGCGAATAATTGATTGTGACGCGGCGATTGGATTGTTCCAGGTTACGGTCGACTTGTACTTCCAGAGTGACCGGATGTGCATGCGGAACATTCGAGGGAAGTATGAAGCGTGGCCTTTTGAGCAACACTACGTACTGGAACTCGAACACTTACACGATGTTAGGTACGTCTGTCGGCTCACTTTTTTCTGTGATGTAGAGCTTGCGTGTATCTTGACCAGTTTCTCTTGATTATCGGTAGATCGCACAATGTGTCAATGGAGACCGCGGCGGATGCACAAGTCACTGTCGACGAGACTGACAGAACGAGCCATTTGCAGGAAGAAGCGTCGTATATCGCTTTGAAATTGCCGCCGCTTGATCATGCTGCGGCGAAAGACTTCTACGATCCCACCAGCTCCGGTACGAGAATGTGGCTTGAACACAAAGAAGCGGTGTGAATGATGAGCGCTAATTTGACGTGTGTGATCGTCATGCGTGGGACTCAGATGTCTCAAGAGGATATGTGATTTTCTGTCCAATGGAGACTGCGTCGGGAAATAGTCTTGGCAATGTCATTGGTATTCTACGAGGTCACGCCGACATACAAATGATGTACGGTACCGCTCAATCATGTCTGACAACGCATGATCTGTAAGCTTACGTGTATTGTGCGGGCAGAGACGATAAGGAACATGCAAAGGGGTATCTTCGAGCTCTGGTACATCAACCCTTCAGTTATAAGCCAAGTCAGCTTCGTCGAAGACGGAATAGCACTGGTGAAATAGTCGGGTATGTACGGGCTAGTGATGTGTACTGTTTGGAATGGTGTAAGCTGAGCTGTTTGTTGTGCGTGGTCTGTCATAGCACACCGGAGTCGGACGAAGAATGCATTGGTGACAGCATTACTGTCCTGACGTATCCACTACCACCCTGCACGACTGATGTCGTCACAATCGTCCGCCGTGATGTGTCGCGGCTGAACCCCGGGCGATACCTGAATGATAACATTATCGATTATTACTTCAAGTAAGTGCGCGCAGGTGTTTGCGTGAGCCGAGTGCGAAGCAACGCGACGGATTGGTTGTGACACTGACTCATCATCTCTCGATGCTTGTTGCAGACGTATGATGCTTGAGACCTTCCGAGACCACGAACTCGTTCAGGAAAAGGTGCTGTTTCTGAGCTCACATTTCTACTCCAGATTGCGAGCTGGAAAAGGCTCTACAGCAGGAGCACGTATCGAGTCTGGGTACAAGAACGTGTCGACGTGGCTGTCACGCTCGAGCTTATTCACTCGCTCTATCATATTTATTCCAATCAACAAAGAGTAAGTCGAGCGCTGCGAATCAGTGCGCGTACGCATGCTCTGACCGTGACCGTGACTGCTGTGTGTGTGCGTGTATGGTTCTAGCGTGCATTGGAGTCTTGCCGTTATTTTGAACCCTGGCATCGCAGGAGCTGAGCCAAGTAATGAGGTATCACCCTCATGAGCGATTGACTGAGAGTTTGTTGATCTCACCAAGTTTCTGGATGATCTTGTCGATTATCTAGGAAGCCTTCTCATGCATCGCAGTGCTGGACCCGCTCGGATCGTATCACCGCAAAGCAGCTATCATCCGGAATCTAAGAGCGTGCGTGCTGTGTAGATATGCACTGCTCGATCACGTGGTGCCAAGTGGTAATCTTTTCCCATGTCTGGTGTTGTGGACAGCTTTTTGCGAATGCAGTGGGCAAACTCGGAAGAGCGGTCGAGCGAACCTGAAGCACAGTCAGTGCCGGAGTACGGTGTTGATCGCGTGCTGACGCTGAGCGTGGAGACGCCACTTCAAGCAAACAGCTACGACTGTGGGGTTTACGTGCTGAAGTTTGCTGAGGTGATGCTGAAAAAGTGTTTGGATCTCGGTTTGCTGGCTCAGAACGAGGGCGTGATCTGCAAGGACGTTACTGATAAGCACCTCGAGGCATTGATTACATCCAGTGCATTCACTGCTGAGGACATTACTGCGACACGGAAGCAGATCCAGCGGTACATTGAAGTTGACACGAGGGCGTATCTATTGCGCAAGGACAAGACGTCTGCGGAAGAAGTACGATATTAACGCGAACGGAGTCAGTCAGGAAAGACGACTCGCACAGTTTTGGCAACATGCATCTCCGTTTTCTCGTGGCAATGTGGAGGTTGAGCGAATGTGCGGGAAGATCATTTCGTGTCGCATTTGCAAAATGCAGTCAGTTGGTGGTGGCGACTGTGGCTCGTCGGTGCTATTGACACTGACTGACTCGTCAGACGTGTAAAGAGCCGCTTGTTCGTCGTACAAGAGCATACGTTCTGCAAGTGGCTTTGCCGCGTACAAAAGCCACTCACACCTGCCACGCAACGGTGGAAAACGCTGTGCTGCATTGACGTATTCCACACCATACGATTCGGACCATGGGATGGCGAGGACGCCGCATGTTGTTCACCGGCTCTCGTGGTGAAGAGCCAAGCAGACCAACGTCCCTCCAGCTGCGTCAGCGTTGGCTGAAGATCTTCCAACGGGCTCTGTCTGCTCTGTTCTCTCCTTAGCTTTTCTACGGTCCATGTCTCAGTGAGCCAAACACTACCGTTCACTCCCTCTCCCCTCAAGAAGCTACAGCTCCGACCGAACATGTTGCGTATCGCATGACCGCTCGACTGCATCAACAGCAGCAGCATTTTCCCTCCGCCAGCGCCAGTAGCAGACATTTGCATTTGATGGTTCTCGGAACTTGCGACATTGTTGTCCGCCAAATCGTTGAAGTTGGTGCATCGACGTCCACGGGAAACGCGACTCGACTCCATGGATCAACCGGAGCATGAGATGTCGTCAATCACTTGCGATGGTGAACGTGCCTCATGGCCGGAGAGCCACATCGATCCTTCGCATTGGAATTGGCCGACGATTCGAACAGCGTTCCTCGACTAGAAGAAGAAGAAGAAGAAGAAGAGCTGTGGGGTATGCAGCGGAATGGTTCGAGCAAGACGCGTGACCCCGACAGCTCTCGGAAAAACTGCTCGACAGACACAGAGCGTATCTACGACGAGCTAACGATTGATCCATAGGTCCACTGGTCCATTCGTAAGGAGTCGTTCGAATGGATTGAGCAGTAGAACTGTCGATGGAGTAGCCGGAACGAACAAAAAGTGCCTCGAGACCCGCTCGCGGTCGGTCGTAGCTTCCCCCGCAGCTGCTCGTCGTGCCTGAAGGGGCGCGTCGGCGCAGGGGACAGTGGCACGAAGGTCGCAGCAACTGCCCGCGCGAAGGGATGCGTACTGCACATAGCCAGTCGCACGTTCGAGTCGCAGAGGTCACTTGACACTACTGACTGCACTTGTTGACGTTATAGTCGCGGCAGACGTACCGGCACATGGCGTCCCTTGGGGTCGATCCCCTTCGCGCCCTTCTCCTCCTCTTACGCGTCCATGGCCACATCCGACAACACCGTCAACGTGGCCAACGTCGACCCTCCGATGGGTTCGAGAGAGGGACAGCGTCGGTCGCAACTGGGACAGACCCACTCGCAAACCGCACCACTCGTTCTGCTGCGCTCGTCCGCCACAACGCCATTTGCCGTCTCGCGCGCCCCCTCCAACAACAACAACAACAACAACAACAACAACAAACACCACCCGAGTCGCCCCACGTGCCACTGGTCATGTCTCGAAGACCGCTCACTCCCGACGACGCCGTTCTCAGCACAATCCTTTTGTCGCTCAGGTGGGGGCACACGCCCTCGTCCAACGTCACTGCACGTGGTTTCCACCACGAGGTCAGTAACGCACACGTGACCGCACGTTCCGTCCGTGCAAACCACTGCAGTTGGACGTCGTCCATTGACAACGTCTGTTGTTGTCCCGTGTCGACGACTGCCCTGTGCCCCATTCCCTCTGACCGCTTGCGCCCCTCTCGTCTTTCTCCTCCTCCTCTTCTTGTTCCTTCCTCTCCTCCTATTGCTACGGTCAGTCGTCACGCGTGTCTCCCGTCGTCTGCTGCTACGCCCTGTGTGGCCACACCTCGAGGCAGAAGCCGCACTGCCCCCCGCCCCCCGCCCGTCGTACGCCTCGACGACCTCCGCGCGTGTTTCAATATGCCCATTGCCGCCGTCGCGCAAAAGTTTGGCATCTGTGCGACTTTGCTCAAGAAGATCTGTCGCCGACACGGGATCCAGCGGTGGCCCCACCGTCAGATCCGGAGCTTGCAACGGAGCATCGGCGTGTTGCGCGAGGCGCTACGCGACGCCAAAGGAGCGGCCAATCGCGCCGCACACATTGCCTCGAAGATTGCAACGTTCGAGACGGCGCTCGAGCGTCTTTTGCACGAGCCAACAGCAGTCGCCACAGGTCTCTCGAGAGAGGATACACTGGTCCCGTCATGGGCGACAAGAGGGCGAGACGCGCGCACAGCGTGTCGCAGACCTCTTCGAGGCACGCTGACCAGTGAAACACAAACAGCTGTTTCTGAGGTCGCAGAGAGTCGCATGGCGACGACCACAGCCAGCGCTTCCATGTCGCTGCAGTCGATTTTGTGGTAGCTGACGCAGTCGTTCGGTCGTGTGCGCGGGCGATGGATCGATCGCGACACAGCCGCTTCGACGCGACAGTGAAGAAGAGAAGGGAACTAACGGCACAGGCAGTTGGGGCAATTCGAATGACGCGATGAGTCGGAGCCACGTAGAGAGGTCCAAGCGCCGAAAGGATCGGCGCGATGTTCTACTCACTGTGTGTTGTCGGTGACGGCTTTTAGGGTACTACAATGGGGTTAGATGTGTTGAGTCCCGCGGCCGGTCGTGCTCCAGCGGTATCGTGCCGCGTCACTTCAACTTGGGCAATACAAAAAACAAGTACAAACGTCGTGCTGAGGAACTTCGGCTTCGCAACGCGCGTGTCGTGCCTTTCGCCACGACGTCGACTCAGCATCTCTCTCGAGCTCTGCATATCGAACGAGCTCAGAGCTTTTGATGCACATGTCAGCATCTCGTGTGTCAACGACTCGCTTGCGATGTCGGCCACCGAGATCAATGTTTTGCTCTCTGATCCGAACAAGCGCACTGCTTCCTCTGTCGTCGACAATGCAATGCTCTTGCTACGCTGCGTGACACCTGATCGAGCATCCTCTTGCTGCTCAAACAAGTCGCGCACGTATCGCCACGTTCGCTCGCCACGTTGTTGCTACATTACCTGGCAATGTGAATACGCGGCTGCATTGCGAGCGGCACAACTCACTGCGGCTTGTCGACTGGGCAGTGCAGCTAGCAAGCCATGCTTTTGTTACCAGCTCGACAGACGACTCGCAAAGCAGCAGCAGCATCATCACCATCATCATCATCACCATCATCATCATCCGAGAAGCACGCCAACAAACGCCGGCCGTCGCCGAGAGGGAGCACGAATGACACGGCTCAGCAACAAGCTACAACAACAACAAGTAAAACATCTGCCCGTGCATTCAATCTCGCACCGACATCGTCTTGCTCGCCTCTACTTGGCGAGCAGTGCCTTGCGTACGCCTTCAACAAACTCGTCCTCTGGCTTGCTTCCCTCAGGCGGAAACACAAACTCGGCACCAGTAATGAGCTCGTACAGCATAATGTAGCGACGCGCGAGCTCCGTCACCAGCTCCTTGGGAGCTTCCGGTAGCACAGCGTCATGGTACGGGTCGCAGTGCTCTTTGAACCACAAGCGCAGAAACTCCTTGTCGATATTATCCGGCGACTTGCCCGCGGCCATGCACGCATCGTACGTGTCCGCGAGCCAATACCGACTCGAGTCGGGCGTGTGGATCTCGTCAATCAGCAAAATCTCGCCCGTGGTCTCCTGTACGCCAAACTCGTACTTGGTGTCCACGAGGATCAGCCCGCGCGTTGCGGCTTGCGCCTGGCCAAACGCAAAGAGCGCCAGCGCCTTCTCCTCGCAAAACGTCCACTGCGCCTGCGTCATGCGTCCACTCTGTACAATCTCTTTTCCCGAAATCAGCTCGTCGTGCTCGTCTTTCGTCGTCGGTGTGACCAGATTCGCAGGCAATTGCTGGTGCTGCACGTACCCCTCGGGCAGCACGTGGCCACAGAACGAGCGGCTGCCGTTGCAATAGTTCGTCCACATGCTCGTGCTCGTCGTGCCCGTGATGTAGCCCCGCACGACAAACTCCACGGGAAACACCGTGCACTTTGCACACAACAGGGCCGACGCATGGGGGACGCTGAGCACGTGATTGGCGACAATGTGCCGCGTGCGCTCGAACCACCAGGCGCTCGTGAGCGTCAGCACGCGGCCTTTGAACGGCACGGCCGCCAGCGCGCGGTCGAACGCCGACTGGCGGTCCGTTGACACGAGCAGCACGCGGTCGTCCGCCAGGAGGTACACGTCGCGCACTTTGCCCGTGAGGTGGCGGAACGGCGGCAGCTCTGACGCGAGCGGCGCGAGGGACGTCGTGGAGAGCGCTTTTGCGGCTTGGATCGTGGCCACGTAGCGCTGCGTGCGCGTCTCGGCGGCCGCAACGAGCGCAGCAGCAGTGGCGGCCATGTCCGGTAGCTCCTGGCGGGCTGACTGGCGGCGAGGAGGTGTGCGGTCGATGGTGTGGTGGACACGAACGCCGCCACGGTGCGTACTTAGGCGCGGGTCGTGGCTCGTCTCTTGTCGTCGAGCCCTAGCCCGGTGTCTTGCCGGTGCGTACTTAGGTGCGGGTCGTGGCTCGTCTCTTGTCGTCCAGCCCTGGCCCGGTGTTTTGCTTGTTTTGGCTGCGAAACGCTCGGGGGGCCATTGGGGTTTCAACTGGTCGACAAGCAACGGGAGGCAAATCGAACGGGGTCGTGGGATGCAAAAGAAAGCGCTTTGTTTTCGTTCGACCGAAAAAAGCGAATCGAGCCGTGGGCAGTCGCGTAAAGGACAGTGTGTGTCGCGTGCCCGGACCACACAGGAGGACCCCCGTGCGATTTCTACGTGGCGGCTGCTTCGACGTAGCAACGAAAATGCCAACGACCGGACGCACGTGGCGATCGGTCGAGACGTTGTGGGCATTCGACGAGAAAAGACAATGAAAAAGCAGCAGCGGATCGATCGGCTCGTGGCTGCGGTTTTAGATATATTAGTACGATAGTTATTTAATAAGCACAAGACGAAGAGCTCCAATAGGTAGTGGTGGTAGTAGTAGTAGCGCCCTCGACCGACTCGACGCGTCTTTTACGCACGTACTGTGTGGGCGCGAACCGAGAGGCGACAGCAGTAAGCGGTCCGTCCCCTTTGTCCGTCTCGAGATCGCTCTGGTAGAGGCCATCGCACGCACGCACGTGACACGACCGACTGATCGGCTGCTCGTTGCTCGCTCCATAGCGTTGTGAATGGGTTACTCACTCGGTCGACGTCTCGACGACGTACTCGAGCTGCATCGCGACTTTCCGCTCGTGGGCAGCGCGCTGGAAGGCGCCGACAATGGCAAAGTAGCTCAGCTGCTGTCTCCGACGAGGCTCGGGCTTGGGCGCGCGGGCGCAGCGTCGCCGCTTCTCCAGCTCAAACTTGATGCGGGTGCTCACGGCCAGTAGGGCGTTCACAGTCTGCGGGGCCGTTGTCGCTGCGGCTGCTGTCCGGCCGCTTTTGGCCACGTCTTGGGCGTCCAATGTCGCGCGCTCGTCAAAGCCAAAGCAGGTGCGTTTGGCAGCGCTGCGGCCGTGGACGGGCGAGACAGCAGGTGTGGGCGGCGCGAAGCTGTCCAAGTCGCGCTTGAGCGACACCTTGAGCGCCGTCAGGGCAGACGACAGATTGACACTGTCAATGGCAGTGGCCGACGGGGCCGCTGGCGTCGTTGTAGTGGCCAGAGGAGGAGGGGGAGGAGGGGATGGAGTGGACAGGGGGGAGCACAAGCGCTTGCAGACCGACACGGCCCGAAAGACGCTCGCGCGGGGGTTCACACGTGAACGCATCGGTCGGTTGTCCACTTGCACGTCCATTATAGTGGCAGTGGGTAGTGGAGTGGGGTCACCGAGTGGCTGCAGTAAAAGCAGATCGGTGGGATCGGCTGGTGCACTGGTGGGCTGACGACGACGTCTGTGACTCGAGAGAGAGAGAGAGAGAGAGTGTGGACACACACACAGAGGACACGGACGCTCGTGTACTGCGAGAGCAAAGAAGGAGGAGCAGGAGCAGGAGAAGCGGTTCGCGGGATACGGCTGTCGTGTGCACGTGTCAGAGTGAGATGACAGTGGAGCGCAATACGACGCTGGAACGAACGTCGTCTCGGCCGCTGTGTCTTTTTCGAGTCCGGTCCGGCCAGAAGGACTCACTTGTGTCCTGGACCGAAAATTGAGCAATGAGCACCGCGTGAGCCATCGGCAGAAGCGAAAGTGAGCGCTGAACCACTGCGACTCGAGGCACGCGAAAAACAGGCGGTGGGTGGGGGGGGGCGATGTGAAAACACGGTGTGTGTCGTCTCTATTAGACGGTGCGAACATTTACAGTCGCGACTCGCGTTTTGCCGGCCGTCTGCGCGACCGGTTTCGTTTCGAGCGTAGTATGCAACAAAGTGAGGGGGGAGGGGTGGGGTGGGGTGGGGAGGAGAAAAGAAGAGCTGGACCGGTGCGATGTGATTGACCGAAATCGACGACGTCGCAGCCAATGCATCGCACGTGCGCCCGCCTGAGCTTAGCTTATTAACGAATCAGACGGCGGCAAAAGGGCCCAGTCGGTCGGGCAGTGCTGACTGGACATGACGCGAGCGCGAGGTGAGATGGCCGTTTCGTCTTTGAAGCGAACAAAGACGAAGTGTGTTTTACGATCGTAGCGATTGACACCACTTGATCGCTATTGCAGGCGGTCTGTTTGGCCCATCGAAGTGCCGTGCGTCAATGCGCGGCATGGAAGACGGCTAGCAATATCATTGGTCAATATAGCAACTGTGGGTTTTTCGGAAGAAGCGACAGCCACTCGCACGTACTTATCGACACGGCGAATAATTAACACTGAGGCTCGACGTCCTACAGTCACGACTACGAAATCCTCCACCCTCTCGCTGTGGGTCTTTCAGGCGTAAAACGGACCTTTTGAACTTGGCGACGCCATGGATTTCGATGCGACAGGTCACGCGTCGTCCCCTCTTGAAACTGATTACAAAACGCATACTCAAGCCAAGACGAAAACGCGTCCTTGAAGCAGCTACTGTTCCACGCACTCACGTAGACACCGCGTGCGTTCGCACAATCGAACGTGCAGTGTACACTGCACTTCGCCCGTCGCTTCGTACTTCCACTCCGTCCGTCTCTGTCTCTGTCTCCTTTTTCTTCTATTACTCTTTTGCGGAGCAATGAGTGGCGACAATGGGACAAACAAACGTACGAAGACGTCGATCTCACGCTGTCCGAATAGATTTATGATATCATAACTCTTATTCGTACTATCATTAGTTGTAGGATTGGTACGATTATGACTATTACTACCCATGTGCTCTCCTCGTTTTGTGTCTTCTTGCAGCGACCTCTGGCGTCGTGTCCTTCGTGACCGGCGGATTCGGCGGTGCGTTCGATCGATCGATCGACTGGTCGTGCGTTCGTTTCGTAGTGTGCACACAGCTGATCTGCTTCCGCACCTGTAGGCGTGTGCCTCGTGGCAACGGGTCATCCGCTGGACCTGATTAAGGTCAACATGCAGACACAGGCACAGCCGCTGCCGGGTCAGTCGCCCATGTACTCGAGCGCCATTGACTGCGCCCGCAAGATGGTCGCCAAAGATGGGGTACGCGTGACTGTCTGCTGACCATACCACCATTAGCTGCCCGAAGTTATCTGCTGGCAATGTTTTTTGCACCGCTGATAGCTGTTGTTCCATGCAGATCCGCGGACTGTACCGCGGTATGTCTGCGCCGCTTGTCGGCGTCACGCCCATCTTTGCCACGTGCTTTTGGGGCTACGACATGGGCAAACTCATTGCGGTGCGTGAGTGAGACGTTGTGGCGTTGTTCTACAGTCGTAGACAGCGTGCCCAACACGTTGTGTCTTTTTTGGTCTGCATTGACTTTGCTGCAATGTGGTTGCACGGTCATCAGGTCAAGGCTTCAGGTCAGTCGCCGTCGAGCCCTTTGTCCATGGGACAGATTATGTTTGCCGGGGGGTTCTCCGCCATCCCAGCCACTGTGGTCATGGCACCAGGTGAGCGGATCAAGTGCTTGCTCCAAATCCAAGCGCAGGCTGTGGAACGTGGTGAACCAAAGCTGTACAATGGTATGGTCGACTGTGCCAAGAAACTGTACCGCACGGGCGGTCTCTCGAGCATCTTTCGTGGCTGGGAAGCTACGCTGCTGCGTGACGTGCCTGGGTAAGGTCGTCGTAAGCTATCAGACTGATTTTGCTATGACATTGCCAAGCGACTAACTCGTTTGCTGCACGCTGCGTGTCGTTTGCCTCAGCTCGGTGGGGTACTTTGGCGGGTTTGAAGCTATTAAACGAGGCATAACGCCCGCGGGCCAGAACCCGTCCGACTTGAACGCGTTCCGTGTGTTCGTGGCGGGCGGCTTTGCCGGGATCATCAACTGGGTCATTGCCATTCCGCCCGATGTGATCAAGTCGCGCATCCAGACCGCGCCAGAGGGCACGTACCGTGGCATTGTGCACTGCTTCCAGGTACTCATGAAGCAAGAAGGACCAGGCGCGCTTTTCACGGGCGTGGGACCAGCCATGGCACGCGCGTTTCCAGCGAACGCCGCCTGCTTTCTTGGTGTCGAGTTCTCGAAAAAGTTTCTGGCCTTCTTGGGCATCTACTAGGTGCACAAGTACTAGAGCAGTTTCACGACCACCAGGCAAGACACGACGAACGTACAACATCACATTTTGCGTCTTGTGTCGTAGCTTGTCGCGTCTGGATGACAATGACCTGCAGGCTTTGCGCGGCACAAACTGATAGCCATCATCACATTGACATCGCCACGACGGACAGCAGCTTTTCGAACCCGCGTGTCGATGCTGCGCTTTACTTCAGCAGACTCTTTCGAGAAAATGCGTCATTGACCTCTGCACGCGGCTCGTCCGTGCCACGGTACAACGTATTGCTATAGAGCTCGACCACGTCACTGTGTTTGCAAAGCAATGCCACCCCACATGCGCAATCCCGATAGTCCACAAAACTTGTCAGCACTGATCCAGTAGCCAACAGCCCATCCATATCGTCTTTAACCGATAGCACCCGAGTTCACACGCGGCCATGCAGAGATAGAGGAAAGAAGACCAACGTACGAAATGCGCTTGAGCTCTTCATTTGCCTTGGCAATAGCCGTCTCCTGCTCCGTCAACGAAGTGTCAATACCAGGCAACGACCGCAGTAGCTCCAGCGCGTCATTGTACTTGTGCTTCACAGCCACTGCCTACAATTGACACACCCATAGCGCCACATACATAGAGCCAGGACCCGTCCCCGGATACAGAAACAATAGCACAGCACCACACGTGTCAACATGAGCCACCCAGAACAGCCACTGTGTCCTTCCAAAGTTTGTCGGTTTCAGCACTGTACAGTATACCGATGCGGAGACGTCTCCGATCCGCACGATCTCTTGCGTCGTCGACGTCGCCGACAGTACGTCTTTCAGCACGTCAATGAGGTTGGGCAGGACGTCAAACGTCTGATTCGAACAGCCACAAAGTGCGAAAAGAGACAGAGAGATGTGTGACGTTCGTAGCGATGTGGCATATGGAATCACATGACACAGAAGAAGAAGAGATAGTTGTGGTACGCTCGTTCGTCGTGGGCGTACGGAACGAGTGCGTACCTCGTACAATTGGGCTCTCGATGTCGTCATAGTCGATCACAAGTCAAAACGCGTGTTCGGTCTTCTCATGTGACGCAGGTGAGAGATCGATGTGGCTGCTTGTTTATGACCGGAGAGAGGTTCTCTCCTCGCGCAACCTTCGCGCACCATCCATCGATCACCGTCGTCGGTCGTTGGGATTGAGATAGAGCAAGTGTAAACACACATAGCAAATCGAGATCGACGAACATCGAACAAAAGACGAGACCACTTTTGAGTAGCTCATCGATGACAGGTAGACAGATTATATACAGGCGGGTTTAACCCGCACCCACGGAAAATTTAACCCGCACCCATTTGCCTTATTGAGTGAAATTTCCCCCTATTTGGGTTCGATAACGACGAAGGAGTCCGGACTGAATCTGATCTGAGTTTTCCAACGCGTGTGTGCATTTCGCATAGTACTTTGACGATAAAACCAATGCAGAACATAGGGAAAAATGCAAAAGCCCGCTTGCCCACTGGAGATGAAATCAATGGCAAGCAGGTAGCGAAGAAGCGCGGACTTAAGATGTGCCTTGGTTGCAGAAAGCATGTCAAACATAACAGTAAAACGTGTCCCACAAAAAAAACCGAAAGAGCTGCTGCAAGAGAAGCTGCGGAGCTTGCACGACGTTTGGTGCTGACGACCCCAAGTGAAGATTCTGAGTTTGTACCGTCCCAACCAGACTTTTACCAAGAGGGTTCGTCCCAGCAGTTTCAACAGCCGCAGCACTTTAACCTCCTCAATCTCAGCCGCCGCCATTTCAGCAACTCCGCTATTCGGCGATGCAGCCACAGCTGCAGTATGAACAGTCGTAACTTTCATTGCAGCAGTACGGCCAGTCGCATGCGTCGCTTCCGCAGTACGCTCAGTTCCAGTCATCAGTGCAGCATTATGATCAGCTGCATCCTTCAATGCTGCTTCCCCGTCCCCATACGCTTTTTCCTGATGGACAGCACGGTCAGCACCTCCAGCTCGCGCCGACCCAAGACAGGACCTTGCCCTCAATGCATCATCTCAGTGACTTCCTCCTGCATGCCCCCCACCCCTGTTTGAGCCCGGAAATACATGGACAGATGCTCGCGTCGCCGAGTGCTGGAAATTGGGCGCCTGCAGATGATGACAGATACTACAATCCTAGAGGACCCACATTTCCCCGACGAGTATGCTATCGCAGTACGGAGTAGGCAGATTCATAGAACAGCATATTCGTCGTATCTTGAAGAGTAGTTCGCTTTGTATATTTCAGGACCATCATATTGAGAATTCTGCAGTTCTGTGCAGATCTACCCACAGCACAGCTGCGCAGTTTGTCATCTAACCCAAAAAGGGGAAATTTCACCCAAATAGGATCAAATGAGCGATGGGTGCGGCAAATGGGAGCGGGTTAAATTTTCCCCTATCCAGCGCACACAACGACGACACGCTTTCGAGTACACAGACACGACCGCACATCCCAAAGGAGGCGACACGCCCGCTCTCGTACGACACTCAGCCGACTCTTGTTCTCCGTCGCTTTGTTGAAGGATAAGAAAGGGGCCCACAACATGTACATAGCACGGTGCTGAATCATCTATGAGCGAGTGAACAAGTGCACCACCGGGAATCTTAGATGACGCTGGACCCAACTAGTAAAGGACCAAAGGAGACGAACCTTGTTGAGATACACTGCCGACTGTCGATCGTGCTGAGCGTGCAATGAAAAAAAAACACGAGTACATTCTGGCAAGTCGTCTACGCGTGCTGCGACAATCGTTTGGCTGGCTCCACAAGGGGCTACCTATCTCAAGAGCTGCTAAACTTTTTATATCTGGGTTCGTTCTCGTCATGAGCGGACGCGCTGCTTCACGTATCAACGTCTCTGGTTAGAGGTCATGAGCCGACGCGCTGTTGCCTGTAACATCGTCTTTGGTTGAGAGCCATTCTCAAGGTTGCCTCGCAGTGCAGCACTCCTATCACCGGACACGACGCAACTTCCATCGCTTGGTACCTTCGACATGGGTCGCTTCCAACGCACGTACGCTTTCGCCGCAGCACTCGCCTTTGCTGCCAAGAATGCTGCTGGCGCTTTCACGATTGGCAGTCCCTCTGGGCTAGGCGCTGGTACCACGGGAGGAGCTGGCGGAGAAGCCGTGTACCCTACTTCAAGCCCGAGCGTAGGGCATACCTGAACGACACCAGGCCGTTCATCGTTGTGCTCAACCGAACTTTTGACTTTCGCGGCACCGAAGGTACGACCACTGAGACTGGGTGCCGACCGATCAGAACTCGCCAGTGCATGGCGGAGAACAACGGCTGCAAGGGCCAAGATGTGATCCTCCAGGACGGTGGCATGAACAACACGGGCGGCTGCACGAACGGCACGGAAGTGATGGTCACGTACGACACCGCTGGAATCCAGCGCGTGCTTGTGGGGGACAACAAGACCATCCGTGGCATTGGCAAGAACGGAGTGCTGATCGGCAAGGGACTGTCGCTGCGCAACAACGTCATCGTCCAGAATATCCATATCACGGAACTCAACCCACACTTGGTCTGGATTGGCGATGCCATCTTTGTACCGGGCTCTGATTAGGGCAAGACGGTGGGCACCAACGTCTGGATTGACCACGTGAAGGTGTCGCGCATCAGCCGCCAAATGGTCGTGACGAACAGCGCTGGTGTATCTGGAATGACCGTCAGCAACTCGGAATTCGACGGCAACACGGACTTTTCCATGTCGTGCAACGGACACCACACGTGGACCTTCCTGTTCTACGAAAAAAAACACAGCCGTCACCATGGTCAACAATCACGTACATGGGACCTCCGGTGGAACGCCCAAAGTCGGCGGTGAGAAGGACAACAACGTCGTCGTGCACATGGCCAACAACTACTGGAGCAACAACAGGGGTCATTCCATCGATGTCGGCTTGAACGGATACATTTTCGCTGAGGGCAACTACTTCGAAACACGAATCTAACCCTCCGGATCGGCAAACAGGAAGGCGCTTTGTATGCACTCAACCACACAGACGGTGCTGACCTCTGTCCAAGCTACCTAGGTCGGTCGTGCGCGGAGAACGTCCTAGTCAAAAAGCAGTAACCTGACATCGTGCAATGGAACTGTCGATCTTGAGATGATGAAGGCGTACCCGAACATCGTCGACTACATGACAAAACGGTGCGTTCTACCGGCCTGGAGGAGGCGCATGGGAAGAAGGGCACTTCCAAAACCGACGACACCTACTGCGGGATGACCCTGACGCCTGTCCATGGGCGCGACTTGGCCAAAATGTGGGCCCAGACGACCGGAAACTTCGGTGTTGGCAAGTTGGACTGAGTCCGTTGCGTAGTATTTTGTAAACCGCGATGGCGTTGAATACAATCTTGATGTTGAGTTTCACTTTGCTTCATTTCAAGCTGTTGATACTGACACTGTCTTATAGCGTTGTGGTGGATATCGTACTATTTACGGAACTAGACACCTGTACAATGCAAACAACACGCAGTCCTGCTTGTAGCAACGTTACCACTCCGTCATATAGTTTCCTGCATCGATACCAAGCAAGGGTCATCACTTTGGGGCGATGTGCCCAAATGTAATTTGTTTACCGATGAATCCAAACAAAACTACATGCTACCGCTGATAATGGTCTGGCTGATTCCCTTACACAAGATATACAACGTCTCGATGTACCTTGTAAGGACTTGTTCGTCTAGTTTTGGAACAGCACAGGATCGAAGGCTGCTATGTCAGCCAAGCCCACAGCGCCAGCCAAGCACGTCAAGTAAATTCGATCGAAATCGTCTGTACGAACCTCCATGCAGACAAGGACTTAAGATTATGGTGAGGTATGGCATAGGGCCTTAACTGAACAATAGGGTCATCCTTGGAGTAAAATTTGTAAGCGGGGAATAAACAATCATTTCACTTTCCGTCGCATCAGTTACAACGGAAAACAAGCAAGCTTCTCCCGTATCGAAGATGGAAATCTGTAGAAGGAGAGTACTTGAAATGCTGAAGTTGTGAACATGTCGGGTATCCACATATCCACCCCCTCCACTCCTGAAAGCTGCATCCTTTCTGTCAAATACTTCTCCACACCTCTGTTTATTATTCTTACAACCTTTACGCAAAAAAAAAACAATTTCGGAAACTACTACATTCACACCAGCCGAAAAATGGCTTTGGTCACTTATTAGTCCTACAATGTGAACTAAGTGGAGCAGACGCTCAATTGTTCTGTGTACATTGTGTGAGCGCAACATAATGACAATTGTTGCAAGCCAAACATTTGCTTGGCAAGCAAAAAAACATTTTAATCTGTCATTCTCTTCACGTCGGTAGAAGTGATGAGTTCTAGATGCTCTCATACCATCAAAAGAGCTTGGACCAGAGGACTTTTTCAGTTGTCCTTCTACATCTGACCACCCATTTTACAATGTAGGTGCGTCCATATCGTCCCCTTCGTTTGTTGCTTCGATAGCGAAAAGAATATTGAGCTCCTATAAACCAGTCAAGATCACATTTAGCAACATCAGTCTGCCCGGTGGCTCAGATTCGGACGTTCAAGGTCATACGGATCGAGTGACTGCTTTATCATGCGGCTTCACTGCATCGCGTCTAGCTCCAGCCTCTGTCTGATGCTCGTTTTGGACAGAGTCTCGCCCAAGACGAAGGCGCATTCGATCTGGCGTGAGAGTGTCCAACATTGGCGCAGATTTGCACGTTTTTTACCATATGGTCCTTTGTCAAATTTGAGGCATAGTGTATTTCTTGCAATCGAGCTTTCTATAGAACTCAATTATCACGAGCACGCGCAATTTTCTGAACAGCAACATGCGTCTGCTGCCGACTGCAAGCTCAAACATAGGACGCATTTTGGATGTGGAATAGCGTGGACGAATACGGCTTGCGTGTGCAAAAAACGCTTCGAATAAATATCAGTAGAAATCAAGGCGTATGGAGAAGGAGAAGCTGAAGTGGTTGTATTTGAAGTGGATTACCTTTGGGATGCAAAAGTGGTAAAAAGCGGCAGGCGGCAAATTAGTAGTTATTTCGCTCCAACTTGGTGACAACTTACAATCTCATATCTGCCGTCAATAGTAAAACTACTACATAGGTACTTTGTGTGCAATTTGGCCCTCGTCATGTGAGACACTCAGCTGCCCTATCCTATTCTATGTGCGCATATAAGTAGTAAACTTCAATCCAAGATACAACACCTTTACTCACAGTATAAAGAATGTGGGTATGGTAACTTCCTCAATCATCTTCGTTTGCCAGTATGCTCTGCATATGAGAAACCGAAAGGTAGATGCACACTTTTGGCTAAAAAAGGATGCCATGATTAAATCGGGTGTTTGTCAACGTTAATTAAACGTTTATCATGTAATTAAGTGAAATAAGCCACTCAAATTTCACAGGAGTGGCTTGCCCACACTACACTCGAATCAATTTTTTTGGTTTTTAACCATTTTTTAAATGGCTGTAGCGGCACCGTGAGTAGCTATGTAAAGCAATAGTTTAATAAAGATCGCGAGGTATATAAAATGAAGTATAGATGCAATGTTACCAATAACTAGCGCTATGCGGAGGTACATCAGATAGAGAGTGACTGCAGCGTGCAAACTATTAGTGATGCATCGCGAAGCCCCCTCATCATTTATGTGTAATGGATGTCGTTATTATAATTGATACATCCCTTTGTATTGCATAATATGGTATGCTTTAGACCTGCGTATCATCGTGCAATCACCTTACAGATGCCAATAAGAGACGCTTCGACACCTCATTTGCAATGACTTGGAAAATGAAACGAATGCGATAATCCGACACTAGGTTCAACTTGACCAGATTAAGCACACATCCGCGACAATGAGCAATTGACGAGTCGATGATGCGAGATATAAGGCCAATCGTAACCCCATTTTTGAGGTCACAAAGTGATAAGAGCGCGTGCAAAGTAGTGTGCGATATATTTCTTTATTGTGTAGTGTTGCCGTAGCCTAATTCTGTCTTGTTTCGTTTCCAGCCACAATGCGACACAAAGAAGGATCGCGGGTCTATATTGATGTATGTTTGCTACAGATATTGTGTAGTTTGAGTAATCACTACAATTACAGCTTAAATAGTGTATCTTAATTGAAGTACTCTAATTACAGCAAATTATATAAAACATATCGGTTTGGATCCTCGCACTCATGGGGCGAAAAAGACGCCAGTATATACAACAATACTTTCTAGTACACGCGTCGATATGTAAAAAATCCGACGACAAATTTACTTTTATTGACCGCAACTTGATTTGTACGTCGAGACAATTCAACTCTTAGCATCGTGGAAGGAGTTTCCATTTCCACTCACCTCTATGAATACCAATACCGGTCATAAACATTTGAACAACGTTGCATTTATTGTATCGAGCGTTGCCACGGAAGGCACAAAAGGACATATCTGTGGATCTTCACTGGTGATTTGCAATAATTAATGCAAACATTACGTTGCGCATTTGATCGAATTAGCTCGTACGTTACAAATGGCATCGCATGCATTTTTATCGCGGATCTTATAGGCGTAAATTATGTGTCACAATGACTACCTATAGATGATAAATGACTTGTCCTTTTTCGGATTTTACGTTCGTTTCTTACCACCTGTCGATATTACATGACGTGTTCTTTTCGAAATTTACGGTAAATTCTTGGCGAACAGAACCAGGTCCAATCATTGAATTATGCAATTGGTTTGCGTATGGTGAACAACGTAGCCCGAAAATTTCATCTCGGTAAAATATAGAATAATGCGTGATCATGGTCTTCTGACACAATTCCTATATTCTTCCAATACAAATATTAAGATGAAGCAGTTTACGAGCATAAGATTTATAAGGATTGCTATGAAAGGATACGACATTGGTCAATCAAAGCACTGATTAGTATGCTTTAAAAATCGAACCCATCAGCTTTACTGAGGATGTGACTTTTGATCCAATAAACCACTAAGAAACATATTTAGTATACATCTGTTGTCTTTAATTTGTTCGCACAGTAGCGGTTTTCAATTTTCCACTCAAAGCTTTACGAGCGCCAGTACCACCACATGCACAAAGACCTTCGCAACGTTGTGAATAATCGCGTTCGTACAGAGTTTATTTATGACGATAAAGTAGTTTTACATTTTTATGCTCAATAGCTTAATGTCGTAACTTTTTTACGCTAATGGCTGATCCAGCGTAGAATGATACGATACGAATTGAGCTAGATAGGTACCGATGATGGCATGTAGATTGGTAGCAACCAATGAGTTTGAATATTTGATTCATCATTGAATGACAAGTGACGTTCAATATGCACCCAACGATACTTATCCAATGAGTGATGCTAAATATTACCCTGACACAATATAGACGAGCACAACAGGTATCAATTCTTGTCCCGGTGTATAACGAACAAAGAAAAAAATATATTTTGTAAAAAATATGTGAGCCACGATCTTCATGCTTAATCGTTTCATAATCTCTTAAGAGTTTGAGGTGACAAAAAAGACAGTACGCATCACATCTGTAGCTTAATGATAGTAATTTTTTATATCTATCCTCGAATGTGCTTTGTAGTACATCATTTTACACCTTAAGATCAAACAGATGAAACTACAAACATAGTCCTCCATTGTGTAATCCTTTAATACACTGGAATAAATCATAGAGGTATACGAATTTAAATTTTATTTGTTTAATACGAAATTGTGAACAATCTGCTACGTTAAAGTTGGATGGATGTTGGTAGTCAATATCGGGAAATTACTCATCATTTATGTAACATCAGGCAAAATCGAAGAGTTTACGAGCGATCGAAAACGTTATATGTGGCTTTATGCAAATCAAGTCCTGCTATTGGCCTCATCAGAGAATGATGAGCAATAATGCATGTTTCACATAGTGAAAAGGTAAGATCCGCTGGAGCCACCTTCGTATCTATAAAAACCAACGGCTTCGTCTAGTTTTACAAATAAATTACTTCTAAACCAAAAAGACGTCAGCCCTCCCAATCCTACAAGGAAAGAGCGCTCGTGTGCCGACGTGTTTTGTGAGCTCGTGGGGGAGGACAACTGTCACCGCGCACAATTTGTGTCGTCTCACATTGACGCTGTTAATGCGACGGATGGTCATTGACGAGGCGTCTGGTAGATCTTCTTTGGGAGCGGCTGTTGACTCACTTGCTGCTGCTGATGGGTTTGTGTTTGATCGGATGCGGTGTAGGGCCCACTGCTGCACAGTACGAGACGGAAAAGGCCATCACGGATGAGCATTTCTGCCTGACAATTGACTCGCACATGAT